TCAGAAAATTCCAAAAAAACCTGAATGTATCGATGACAAGACAAAATGTAATGGGTGATACAAAACGTAATGGAAAAGTCCAGCTTCCACTTGCAGGTTTCTTTATATTGGAGTTGATAAAAGTACCAAATTCTTTTATGTACTTACTAATATGTAAAGACGGCAAAGGCATCAATCATCAGCATGTACTTAAAAACAAGCAAATAATTAATGTTTACGTCTTCCGATCAGAGCCTATGCAGTGATGTTCTCAAAATATTGCTCATGTCCCACCAAAAACCAGCAAACTCCTACAAAGCCTCTGAAATAGACAGATTTGCCACTAACATTTTTGGCACACAATTTATTGATTGACAAAACTGGACGAAAAAACGTAAAAAAGCTAGGTGTGGTCCACTTTGCGGAAAACAGCATTCACTATGAGAATTAGTACTAAGTTTTTATTCACACTATTTTCAGGGCTTACTTGTTTAGATTGAATTTCACTTTGGACGCAAGTATTCAAACACCTCAAAGGTAGTATTTACTTAATATTTGCAGGTAAAAGCATTCACTTTGATTTCCTACGCCACTGCTCGAGGATGTATTGTAACGAAATTGAGATTAAACATGAAAAAACATTTATGGGGGTTGACATTCGGAGGCTGGATGTTGTAGGGGATGGGCAGGGCATATGAAATTATTTTGATGTTAGTCCTATCAGTCATATTTTACACATCATAGATTCCCCGTAGATTTGAAATGTTTTCGGTCCGCGTACTCCTGCTATGTGAGCTCACCGCCAGGCGTACCGGTCTGGGTGACTCTATCCGTACTGCAATGCACAAAACATATGCACGGAATGAACGATAGATCGCTGAAGCGGTGCTGATGTGGGCGCTGCCGCGAAGATGTGGAATGGGTGAACTTTGCCACACGGTGTCTAGTGGTTGGGCGGAGAAAGGATTTCTATGAACGAATTGTATGGGCCTGCTTGATTGACAAAATACGTTTAATTTCTCTTTTGTACATGTGTAGAAGGTGCAACGTCAACCTACTTGACGCCATTTTTAGACATTATGTAGCTTGTTCTACAAATGTCGCCTTTGAATTACGAGCCCCTTCCCACTTCAGTTGGCCCACTTCAAGATTTGTACCAAAATATGCCTTTATAAACTAAACATTTACTTCTAAAACAATTAATTTTCTCAAAAACATTATAGATACACTCTAGTCGTAAAAAATACATATTTGAATCACTAGACCTATAACTAATAGAACATCTGAACAAATAACAATGTGCGAATAAATGCGCGAAGTTAACAAAGCAACAATTGAAAGATTACCATTGGGTAACATCACCCTTATTTTTATTACGTCTGAAATTCTTTGGGGCATAGTGTTAACCAAGTTTTGGCAAAAATTTGGTGTAAAACAATCCCATATTTCTTGAAGCTTTTGTCTCAGTTCGGTGATTGTACGAGCAGGATGTTTCGTAGAACCTTTTTCATCTGGTGCCACAAAGTTTCAATAGGTGACAGATCTGGACTGCTAGAAACCCATTTCAAAAGTGGTACATTATTTTCTTCCATCCATTTTATAGCCTTTTTTGAGGTATAACACGCTGCACCATCTTGCTCAAACAAAAAATCTTAGCCGGATGTCAAACATTCGTCCATCACTGGTAAAAGCGATTCTTCTAAAATTGCCAAATATTTGTTTGTATCCACATTTCCATCAATAAAATGAAGTTTTCCTACTCCTTTTGACGACATACTGCCCCAGACCATAACGAATGCTGGAAATTTCACTTTTCTCTTCAGACGGTCAACATGGAATGCTTCATTTTTTTTGCGAATAACTCTACTGCGACTGTCACCAACACAAACTTCGAATCGGGCCTCATCATTCCATTGTATTGCACACCATTGTTGAGGTGTCCATTGTCTATGTTCTTTAGCCCATCTAAGCCGATTTTTCTTTTGTAGTGGAGTTAATAGTGGCTTTTCTTTGGCCTACAGGTATAAACAAGTTGTGCAACTTTAGGGTTTTTACTTCACTTTTTCATAAGAAAACTTATCTTGCAAGTGCTAAATCCCAGTTTGTGGGCCTCTCTATGAGTTATGGACCTCGAAATTCTCCTTCCAACAGCGTCACTTCACAGAGCACTTAATTGTAAATAATTGGTACGCCTGTTTTTCACGATTATTCTTCTTAATGCTCTTCGGTCAACATTTGTGATATTACTTTTTTTCACATATCGTGGCTTAATATTAACTGAACCAGTTACGTTATATCTTCTAACAATATTTTTCACACTGTACCGCGATAAGTCTAACAAAGTTGCAATTTCTGAGTTTGATTTCCCAGTATTAAAAAATTTAATTATCAGTAACCGAATTTTCTCACTAATAACCTTTCCTCTACCCATTTTGAAAACCTTAACTACCCAAAACTATTTTAAACGTATTCTGACAGCTGTGATTAATGAAAACAATTGTCATATCTTTTATTTTTCACAGCCACCTATGCGTTATAGACTTATTTTGCATTGGAATAAAAATAGGTTGATATGCTGTAATTGCAACATGTGTTATTTTTATGCTGCAAATTTGATTACGGAGTGATAAAGTTGGTGTTTTCTACTATATTTCGAAGTTGAGTCATTTATTTTAACAGTGAGTAGATCTGATCAAAAGAACATTTAACATTTTTCTGGTAAAATTAAATTAACAAAGTTATAGCCCTTTAGAAGTTTGAGTACCGCCCTGTCTCAATAATAATATTATGTGCTCGTGTTTGGCAACAGCGGATATAATCCGCCTTATCGGTTCATCGCATCGGAAGCAAAAAAGCGAAAGAATTTGAAACGTTTATCACGATGTCAGTCAATGTTTCAGTCGGTAACGCGTGAGTGAATAGTGGTGTTTGTTGCGTGGTTCAAACGAAATAAAAAATGGCACATGTTTACGAAAATGCTGAACTTGTGAACTTGTGGACATGATTCTTATTTAATCGAGTGCAACCAACCCCTCATGCCTTTGTTAATGTAGTACAAAGGGCTCGTGAATCAGGTGACTTAAGACCTCACAGAGGAGGGCATGCCGGTGCTCCAAGACCGCACGAACAAATACAGGTTCGCACTGAAATACTTGTCGGGAGAACACTTTATAAAACAAGGTAACATTTTTTTTTAATTTTTACACACATATTTTGGTTTATCTTCCTTCTACAATCATTATCTGAAAATTAATGACTCAACTTCAAAGTCACCCTGTATATTATCAAAATATTCATTGTTAATATTTTAAACCCATAACACCCTGCTACATTTTTATTATTTGTGTTTGATAAGAAAAAAAACTAAGATTTCAATAGTTGGACCAACTGAAGTGGGAAGGGGCTCGTAGATGACATGCACTTCATGCTTTTTTCTATTAACTGCTCCAATGCATGAGAGCATATTTATAAATCAAAAAATTGAAACTCGTTCAACTCAACGTCGTCACAGTATTAATATTACACGTCACTAAGACTTTTTCTGATATTTAAAATTGTTCAATTGCAGCCAAATGCCAAATCCACAAAACGAATCTCTGCCAACATCAAACATTTGTATAACCGATAGGCATACGTCATCACTCCTTCAAAATATTATCATTTACGTGAAAAGTAGCGTGGAGTATTATTAGTTGTACTATAACATGAACTTCTCTGGCACAAACTTCAGTTGTTTGTTGAAAATGTTGCCAACAATGTTCATGCAAGCTGTGAAATCAGAAATCCCACCATGGACTATTAAATGTTTATCGTCATAGACAGAGAAAATTATGAATTATTTATAGAGTAAACGTGCATCGCCTGACCTCTGTAGATACAAATTAGGAGTATTGGTGATTATCTTAATGGCTCCGGCCATCAATTTTGCGTGGTGCTTGAGAGAAGTTATTTTTACTGCAGCTTCAATGGCTTATTGCTTGGAAAAGGCAATAGTAGAGAACTGAGCACCATAGGTCATCTAAAACTGTTGCCACAGATATAAGCCGTTATTTTTCAACTATGCATTGTGATTGTTGATCATTTTGATCTCGGCTTTTTAAGCACTTATCCCCATCCTTTTAGTGCGGGTGATCAGGTTGCGTAACGTAAACAAAATATAAATTGTCTTAAACGGCTAAAGTACCTAAAAGCGATCAACAATATTAAAATACGCACTTTTTTCTGATATACAGGTTTTCACTAATCTGATAGGCTGATGGAAATCGCTCTTATTAACCTTTTTTGACATAAATAGGGATTTGAAAAATATTGTGAATTGTTCGACTGCAAAATCAAACTTTTTCATTCTATGAAAGAGGAATAAAGATTATCAAAATCTCTATCGAAACTTTTTCTTGGTCCGTTTATCACGCATATAATTAGAGAGCATGATACAAGTTGTTGACTCCATGAATGATGTATTTTCTCTTTTTTTACTTCCCACGCCACTAGCGGGAAAGTGTTGCAATCGCAAAAAATCTACATCACGAAAGGCCATGTCACTTATTTCCGCCTGTCTGTCCCCTAATTCTTGGCCTATTTATCACTCGGAAAGTACCATTTGGACTTTTATGAAATTTCCACAATAGATTATTACTGCGTTAACTAATACTTTTTGAAAGTCGGTCCAGCGGCGGCGGAGCTAGGAGAGACAGACAAAAAACCGCTCGTTCTTTTTTTTCACATTTCAGAGGCACCTGATCATATTCATAATCATATTGCTCTCAACCTGTCCTTTTTTTGTACCTATTCGTCAAGTAGTTGTCGGTAAAAGTATTTGCTGGTGGTCTTCGTTGATTATAGCAAGCCAGTAAAGTTTATTTGCTGCCTATGACGATTCTGATATTTTGCCCGTTAGGCCCAGCGCCCACAGAAGTGGCGGAAGTCTGGCAGCGGCGTGGTTCTGGCGAGTGGCAACAGAAAGGTAATGTAAATGAATCAAGCAACGCACACTGAGATGGCGTGGTAGCGGTGCAGGTGTGGCACGCCATATTGTAACCACTAGTGGTGCATTGAAAGCGGCGTGCCAGTCCGATCTCGTTCGTTGTTTCGAATGTTTTCCTAGTTTTGGCAGTAAAATGCGGGATGATTTGGAATTTAATGTTCGCTTTGTCGAATTAGTTGAATCAAAACCATGTTTATATGATTATAATCGATCTGATTATTGCAACAGAACTGCACAAGATGCTGCCTGGAATGAAATCTCGAAAACAATTAAGGAAACAGGTAATTTTTAATAAAATAATTATTTATTAGTAATAAGTAATGTAGTAGGGGTAACATGGTATTGTAATACCTATTAAAAAAAAGTTATTAAAGATTGTAATATCCTTGGTTTGGAATGGGAGAAATATTACAAATTTAGTACTTAACAAACCAAAGCAGCATTCCACTGATTTGCGTCCCCTAGAAATTCTGTAATTATACATTCTTCTTTCATTGGTAGGTTGATTTCGGGCAAACGGTTTCATAATGCTCCTGAGCGGAAATGCTTCGTCACCTACAAAGTAGTAGGGAATAACCAATATTTACATCTTCACCAGGTAGAGGAGTTGGATCTGGTATATTAAGTTCTCCTCGGTCCAGACACTTTCTAAATTTACTTTCCTTTAACGCACGCCCATCGCTATTGCGGCCATATTCACCCAGATCTACAGAAATAATTAAGCCATATGCGTCGACAACAGCTAACAGCACTATAGAAAAAAACCTTTATAGTTGTGGAATGCAGATCCTGAATTTGGGGGTGCTTTTATCCTAATGTGCTTGCCGTCAATGCTCCCAATACAATTAGGTAAATTCCATAGGCTATAAAAGCGTTCAGCGATATCCAACCATTTTTCCCTAGTCGGTTCTGGTAAAAACTCTGGCTGTAGAGTTTTCCATAACATCTTGGCTGTGTGATAAACAATTTTTCGTATTGTTGTATGCCCTCTTAAAAAATAAAATTGTAAGGACTTAAAAGATGAGCCCGTGGCAAAATATCTGAAACGACACAAAAGAAAAACTGTTACAGCTATTTATGTATCAAGTTTTTAATTTTTTTTACATAAACAAGCAACATAAAACATTTTTTGTTTGTTTCAGTAAATGATTGCAAGGGAAGATGGAAAAATATCCGGGGTAGTTTTAGAAAATATTTAAATAAAAAAGTTCCGTCGGGATCCTCAGCAAAACCAATCAAACCCTACCAGCTTAAAATTTACATTTTTTACAACCATTCACAAAATCAAGAAAATCATTGGGGAATACTAAAAAGATTCAAGAAGAAGGTATTACAAATGAAATTGATTCGAGCAAGTCTGACAGTGAATTAGAGGCGCCTTCAAGTGACACCAATGATTATGAGGAAAAACGTAAGTCAGAAGTTATCCACGTACCAAAAAAGAAGAAACAAAAAAATACCCTTCTTTGCAAGAGGTGAATTCAAGTGCTTTCGAATATTTAAAAAAAAAACGAACTAAATTACAAGAATGTCCTGAAAAAACTGAGGATCCGGATAGGGCTTTTCTGATAAGTATGCTACCGGACATTAAACAAATGAAAAAAAAAATTAAAATTGGCATTTTGAACTTAGCTTCCTCAAACCCTTCCAATATACAAGCTTATTCTCCGATTAGCATCGTAACCTCAAATCAACCAGCAAACGAAAATAGAATTCGATCATACATTACACTACAAAGATCACATGGAACTGATTTTGATTATGCTACTTGTTTATCGAATCAGCAGCCTCAAGGGTATTCATATAACTAGTTTTTGTGTTTGTCTTTATATGTTAATATTAACGTTTCATAAATTTCGTAATGTTTTTTAAAACCATTTTTTTGTGTATTCTACAGCTATTATTTAATTACTTACCTAAGAGTTATTAATAATCGCTCTTCTGTACTAACACAATTTCTGCAGTTTGTATTCTTTTTAGTTAATTTTGGTTTTATTATGTTCAGTAGCCGCGTAAAACAGTCTTTAGACATTCGATAAAAAGACTGAAACCGTTCTGGATACTGATTTAGCTCTTTGAATACATTAAAGCTGCCACATTTTTTGTTTTTCTTTTTCGACAAGGGATGTTACCCAATATCGTCTTCTTTGAATATTATTTAAATGCACTAAGGCAAGAACATCTTCGTCCTCTGAAGACGACATTGTACTAATGACTAAACTTGCATTTGTGTGCTGCTTCTGTGCCACTTTAGTGGGCGTTAAAACACCAGGCCTCTGCCACGTCGGTGCCACACCACTGTCACGCCACTTATGTGGGCGCTGGACCTTAGGCCTCAGATCAAGTTGGTTAACACTTTTGGTACATTTTTCGAAAGTTATTCTCTGGTATCATCGTAATAGTTATTGGATTTTTAGTTATTAGCGCAAAATATTCATCAATTAATTAATACAAGTATCAAATGGGAATTATCCTTCTGAGTGATTATACTGGTATACCTGTATATCACGACAATAAGCAGCATCCCAACGGCTATATATCATTGTCCTATTTTCAAGGTTCAAACGATTTTATCTAGACAAATAGTACTTATATTTTTAAACAATGCTGATATTATGCTGACAGAGGAAAAGTTATGAAGATTATTTACCCAAGTATAAATTACTTGATTGTGTATACATGTAACATCTACTTGCAACACCGTCACAATTATCAATTAATGTGAAAAAATCCCATTGCAGTGTTGATAAAGAATATATTTACATTTACATTCCACCTGGAAAATAAAATGGATCACACTTTCTTGAGTGCTTTCAAGATCGCGGATACGAAAACAAATCTGAAGCATTTTATCGAACCAAGTGGAGTAATATATCTATAACCAGTTTATTATCAGCTTTGCTTATTTATCGGTTAAACATAAACATTACTGAAGTTAAAACATAGACGTATTGCCTAGAATTATAAAAAAAGTAGCAAATTATAGGTATTTGTATCCATATACTTATTTAAACAACTTTCCCTAGATCTGAGTTCCTTTAGCCAATCTGACCATGCTATCGATATTGTTGGTTGCTGCATATACAGGGTGGCACATCGAAAACGAAAAAGACGCATTTACTGGCAGCTCAGTTTTTTTTTGGAAAAATGCTCAGACCCGTCGATTTTGTTTTCGAGGGGGACAGAAGTTTGGCAAAAAATCACGTTAGCACGTGCAGACCCCTAAGCGGGGGTGACACCACCCCCAAAATCTTAAATAGAAAGGTGGGTCGAGTGATACCTTATTTTAAAGGTCTTTCAATTCCCTTTATAATGACATAAAATTAATGTACTTCAGTTCAGTAGTTTTGAAGATTTATTAATTTAAAGCTTAACTAAAACTAATACATCATCATTTGGCAGCAAACTAATTTAAAAATGAAGGCAAGTAAATATTGAAAATGGCTACCATGACTCTCCATGCAATAATAAAGATATTGCTCAAAACGTTGCCGCACATTTTGCAATATTTGAGGAGTAATTTGAAGGCACGCATCCACAATTCTTTGTAGCAGGTCTTCTAATGATGTCGGCTGAGTAGCATAGATTTTGCTTTTTAAATGACTGGCGATCTTGGGGGCCATTCAAAGGCACCTCTTCTACAAATCCATCGATCTGGAAACGTCTGATCTAAATATTGTCGAACACGTAATGCGTAATGTGGTGGGGCACCATCCTGTTGGAACATCAACCTATTCGCAAGGTACCGCCGATCATTCTGATTTTCAATTATGGCTGTTAATGCAGGATTCTTCCAGTTATTACAAATACATTTCAACGGTCAAATTTCCAGGTAATAAAAAAGGACCAACTAAATGATCGCCAAAAATACCAGCCTAAACATTTAATTTTTGAGGCTGCTGTGTGTGAACCTCATTATGAGTTCTGGGATTAGAATCGGACCAATATCGGCAGTTATGACGATTTACTACGCCATTTAAGAAAAAGAAACATTCGTCGGAAAAGCAAGTGTTGAATAGAAAATATTCATCGTTTATAATTCGTTCACTCATATCTTCACAAAATTGTAATCGCAAATCAAAATCGTCTTCATTAGGTTCTTGTACCAGGTGAATTTTATACGGATGAAAACTATGGGCCTTTAGAATCCGTTGGACAGTACGTCGACTAACACCACACACAGTCTCCAATTTGCGGGTACTTAACGTAGGATCTACATAAACGATCCCTAAAACCCCCACTTCTATTGCTTCGTTCCTTATGGGATTTTCAATGTTGCGTTTTTTATTGGCGACTGACCCAGTTTCCAGAAAGTTAGCTACAAGTTCTAGAACATATTTTCGATGCACGTTACTGTTCTCATGTCGCTCATTAAATATTTCTGCTGTTCTATTAGCGCACTGATTATTTCCGAAAAATATTTCGATAATTTCAACTCTTTCTGCTGTGGAATATACCATGGTTATGGTATGGAATAAAGCGTTACAAGTTATTTTAGCAACAGAGTTTGGTCAAATCAATCGCAAACTATGTACTAAATTCCTATTTAAAATATGTACGAAATATTTCCTTATCTTTCTTCAAGAAATAACCTTTTTCCCACAAAAAAACGCTCCAATAGCTATTTTCAACAACAAAATGATAAGCAAACCATGGGCATAGTGAAGAAAAGCATTTACTCATTAAGTAAATACTTTTAGTCAAATTTCTTCTGAAAGTAGGACAAACTAATCTGATGTACCTATTAAAGTCTACTTTAAATCAATAAATCATCAAAACTACTGAACTGAAGCTCATGTATTTTACATCATTATAAAGGGAATTGAAAGACCTTTAAAATAAGGTATCTCTCGGCCCCCCTTTCCCAGGGGGCTGCACGTGTTAACGTGATTTTTTGCCAAACTTGTGTCCCCCTCGAAAACAAAGTCGACGGGTCTGAGCGTTTTTCCAAAAAAAAAACTGAGCTGCCAGTAAATGCGTCTGTTTCGTTTTCGATGCGCCACCCTGTATAACTCATCTATGAAGCTTTATGTCTTTGTAGTTTATCTACCACCATATACAAATGCAGACTCTTACTATCAGCTGTTCGAATACTTTGAACTGCTAGAAACAATATATGGCAACACACTTTTATTAATTGGAGATTTTAATATTACAAAATACATAAACTATGGCATCAATATCGAGGGACAGACAGACATTAAGTGTGAATTACTTAGGAACTTTTTAGATTTTTTCAATTTTAACCAGTACAATGATGTAATAAACGGAAATGGTAAGCTATTAGATTTAGTTATATCAAACCAAGAGTGTCAAGTAACTAGAGATGTACCCATTGCTCGAGAAGACCCTCACCACCCTGCTCTTTCGGTAAATGACAAAATTAGTAATGAATGCAACACAGTCTTTGAGTTCAACAATACCGAGGTTAAGTACAATTTCAGTAAAGCTAATCTTTGCAACCTCTATTTAGACTTCTTAAATATTGACTGGAATTGGTGTGAGCGAGAAGCGGATGTTAATACCTTGTGTAGTCATTTTTATGAATGTATACTAAGTGACATATAAATCCCAACACCCAGTTTAAATGGTTTTATTGTTCACTCAACATAAAAAATACATTCATTTAATCGATGGGTTAAGCTGCATGCTGCCGTACATACAATTTTCTCCATCACGCTTATACAAGTTTTGCAGTCAAATAACTTATGCATACCTATCGATATATACTAAGTGACATATAAATCCGAACACCCAGTTTAAATGGTTTTATTTTAATAAAAGTTGGTGAATGTATTTATCTTACTGTAAATAACAAGTGAAAAAATTTTCAGCCTTATCAGTTGGAGATTCCGGTTTTTATACTGCTTTTTTTTAATTCACTAACGCTCTAAAAATGAATATTTCAGCCGCAGTAAATAAACAACGTTGGCGGATTTTGGTTCTTGACATCCTTTACGACCGGTTACGATGCCTAGAGTATGGAGACCTGTACGATTTCGTCAACTTAGTGAGTTTGATAGGGGCCGTATAGTGGGACATCGGGAAGCTGGACTTTCTTTTCGGGCAATTGCAGTTAGAGTGCAAAGAAGTGTAGACACTGTGGTTAGGTGTTGTCAGGCATGGCTTCGAGAAGGCCGTACGCAAAGAGCAAGGGGCACTGGACGCCGCGGTAGAACAACAGACCGTGAAGATCGCCGCCTAAGATTATTGGCCTTAAGGGACCGTTTCTCCACTACCAGGTCCATTGCAAATGAATGGTTTGCAGAACACGGAAGACCTATTGGCATGCGCAGTGTTTACCGACGAATGAGAAGTTTTGGCTTGTTTTAATACCGGCCACACTGGGTCATCCCTTTAACTCGAGAACATCGACGTAATCGCCTTGAGTGGTGCAGACAACGGTCACTCTGGGATCAGGAATGGAACAGTATTGTCTTTAGTGACGAGTCTCGATTTTGTTTAGGCATGCAAGATGGTCGTGCCAGGGTTAGAAGGCGAAGTGGTGAAAGGAGGAATCCACAGTTTTTTGTTGAAAGACATGTTCATCAGACTTTTGGAGTTATGATTTGGGGTGCTATAGCTTATGGTTCCAGTTAGGGGGCGTTTCTGTAGAACAGTCTCGGAAATTATGACGGGCGTTCTGCGCTCCGTGGAATCGTGGTGTAGGGAAGTCGATCTTTCTGTTAATGCTGAAAAGACCGAGCTGATCCTATTCACTAGGAGAAGAAGGCTTGACGGACTGGTCATGCCGACCTTCTTTGGGACTAGATTAGTTTTGTCCCAGTCAGTGAAATATCTGGGAATTATCCTGGATTGCAAACTGAACTGGAGAGAGCATGTGGAATACAAGGTTAGCAAGGCTCGCAATTCGATGTGGGCTTGTAGACGTGTTGTCGGTGTAAGGTGGGGGCTTAAACCCAAAGTTGTATACTGGCTCTACACGACGATAGTACGTCCATCTCTCTTGTACGGCTCCCTGGTCTGGTGGCCTTGCATTAGAACTGAGTCAACTAAGGCCAAACTCAATAAAATTCAACGTTTGGCCTGTATTAGCATTACAAGCGCAGTGCGAACAACGCCATTGAGTGCAATGGAAGCTCTGTTGGATCTCCCACCGTTGGATCTGGTGATCCGCGGTGAAGCGAGAGTAGTCGCTCATCGACTGTGGAGTCAGTGCAGCTGGGCTTTCTTGAATCCGGTCAAGGGGCATACTGCCATCTTAGTCGAATTAGAAAGGGAGGACCCCGTCCTTCTAAGCAGGGGTGATCGTGTTACCCCTAAATATCGCTTCAACCGCAAGTTTATTGTGGAGTATCCAACGAGGGAGGACTGGGACGCCGGTAGCCGAGGACTCTCCGAAGTGAGCGGGCAGGTCTGGTACACGGACGGCTCGGTCACCAAAGAGGGCTCAGGTGCTGGGGTCTCTGGGCCTAGAACTAGGCTATCTCTGCCTCTCGGTGGATACACCACCATTTTACAGGCGGAAATCTTTGCGATTCTGGCTTGTGTATCTCACATTCTGGAGGAGGGTGGGCCTAGGAGAAGAATAACAATCTTATCCGACAGCCAGGCTGCAATGAAAGCACTAAGTGCCTGTAAGATTACTTCGAGTCTTGTATTGCAATGCAGGGAGGCTCTGGATTGCCTCGCAGCGAGGCATCCGGTATCGCTAATATGGGTACCGAGGCACGCTGGGATAAGGGGCAATGAGACGGCGGACACTCTTGCGAAAACAGGATCAGCCAGCAAGCTCGTTGGTCCTGAGCCAGCTCTAGGAGTAACCGCGCATAAATCTAGGAGGAAAACGGAGATGTGGGTTGCAAGAGACAACACTCTCAGAAATGGAGAAGTATCTCTAGACATCTCCGCCAGGCACGAGAGCTCATTGAAGGGCCCAGTGCTAAGGATGGACGCTTCTGCCTATCTCTGGGAAGAGCCAACCTAAGGTTGCTGGTGGGACTGTTGTCTGGCCATAACACGTTAAGGCGTCACCTGCACGTGATGGGGTTGGCAGAGGATCCCTTGTGCGAACGCTGCGGAGTAGAGGAAGAGACCTCGGCGCACGTTTTGTGTCGCTGTGAAGCTCTGAGCTACTATAGGCAGACTATACTGGGGTCCATTACTTTGGACCCTCAGGACGTCAAGGAGCTTGGACTCAAGGCGATTCTCAACTTCGCTAAAAGGGCGAGGCTTGTGATTTAAGTATTGTAGAGGTGCATAAGGGCCCGCTTAAGCGGCCTATGCACTGGCTCCTTATGGTGGCCGGGATGCCTCTAAATTTTAAGATTCATTCATGGTTCCAGGTCACCTTTAATCTTCATCAGAGGTAACATGAACGCGCAGCGTTATATCCACGGAGTTCTAGAACCCCATCTTTTACCCTATCTTGACACCCTGGCAGATCCAACTTTCCAACAAGATAATGCCCGACCACATGTTGCAAGAGTCACAATAGACTTCTTTCAACATAATGAATAATGAATAATTGTTACCATGGCCACCAAGATCTCCCGACTTATCCCCAATTGAGCACGTGTGGGATATGATGGGTAGGAGATTGCCCAATTTGCAACGTCCTCCTCAGAATCTAGAAGCACTTCGAGAGGAGTTGGTGGTTGCCTGGAATGAGATACCACAGGAGGACATTGACCACCTGATCAGAAGCATGCCTAGGCGCGTTGGAGAATGCGTAGCACATCAGGGTGCATCCACACATTATTAAAGGTCAAAGGGCTTTAAAGCAGTGCAATCATTTTGAAATTTTTATCATTTACTTATTATGCTTCATTAAGTACTTATACAAAATTTTATTAAAATAAAACTATTTAAACTGGGTGTTCGGATTTATATGTCACTTAGTATATTTTCGGTGTTATTGAAAAGCATATACCTAAATTTAAACAATTTGTAAGACGTTACCCAAGATGGTATACGAGAGATATAATCAGGGATATCAAAAAAAAGTACCACTGTTACAAAAAGTTTAAGGAAACTGGCAATATGGAGCAATACAACGACTTTAAACTTCTTAGATCTAAGATAAAGCTGAATGTAAGCCATGCATACCAAAATTAGATAGTTAATGTTCAAGATAATATTTCTAATAATCCCAAAGGATTTGGACTTTTATAAACTCTAAAAGATAGAACTCTAGAATACCTGTGTTTTATGGTGATCAGAATTTTCATGACCCGCAATCCATTGTAACAGGCTTTGCTGAATTTTTTAAAACCGTATATAACGATTCACTTGTTACTTGTGACATAGACCAAGAAGCATGTAGTTCTGAATATCTATCAGTCCCTGTTTTTAGCGAAGAATGTATAGCTTGCCTGCAAAAAACTAAAGCCTAAGCCATCGAGTGGTCCAGACGGAATCCCGACATACATTGTGAAAGACTGCATTAGAGCTTTTGTTAAGCCTCTATGTCAAATTTTCAACAAATCGCTTAAAGATGGTGTCTTTCCGGACTGCTGGAAGGCCTCCATGGTATGTCCTATTTTTAAGAGCGGAAAAGTGAATGATGTAAAGAATTATAGGGCCATATCACTCGTGTGTGGTTTTTCTAAACTTTTTGAGATGCTGCTTTATGAGTATATATATATATATATCCTAGTATGAGTAACATGCTATCGGAAAAACAACATGGATTTAGGAACAAAAGATCGACAACAACTAACTTATGCTGCCTCATGAATTATCTGTCGTTTGCTGTAGATCAACAACAACAGGTCGACGTTATATTCACGAATTTCTCAAAGGCATTTGACCGAATAAACCACTCCATTCTGCTTAAAAATGCATAGATTTGGGTCTTCTGACGGCTTGTTGATGTTTTTCCGGTCCTCCAATTTATCTGATCGCGTTCAATCTGTGCTGTATAACGGCTTCAAATCGGAATCATACACAAAAACTACGGGAGTACCACAAGGTACTAACTTGGGCCCCCTACTATTCTTAATTTTGTGAATGGTATCAACCATATAATAACAATGGAAAACACAACATTAATTACTGGTGCCAGAATAAAGATTTAATGCTTAATCCTAGCAAGTGTAAAGTAATGTCCATTACCAGAAAACAGAAAACTTGACAGAGTACAGGAAGCAAAAGACCTAGGCATTACTATTACTGCGGATCTGTCATTTTCAGCACACTTGAATCAAATAGACAAATCAGCTTCACGTATGCTTGGATTCATTATGAGAAATTGCAGATCTTTTACTAACACAGAATCATTAAAAATACTGTATTTCACTTTAGTTAGAAGCTTACTTGAATATGGTTGTATCATCTGGTCTCCTTTATATGTTACATATATATCTAAAGTGGAGAAGATCCAAACTAAATTTTTGAAATATCTGCATTTAAAAGCATATGGTGCATATCCTCCATTCAACTATCCAAAGAAGGACCTTTCAGATCATTAGATCACTTTGGCATGGTCAGTCTTGAACAGAGAAGATTTTTGTTAAGCTGCTGCTTTGTGCCTAAGTTGCTAAGCAATCAGATTGATTGTAGGGAAATTTTGTTGAACTTAAACTTTACTGTGCCTAGGTTGAATAGTAGGAACTACATCATGTTTTATCTTCTAGAAGCTTCAACAAATACTATGCTAGCATCCCCTTCACACAAAATGTTGAAATGCTTTAACGAGGTTAGTCATCTCTTTGACTTTGATATTAGAAAACATATATATAAAAGAAAAATATTGTCATATTTAAATACCGTTCAGTGACGTAAACTATTTTAAGCTTTCCAGTACCTTTTAATCTTATTCTTTATCTATCTTAGGATTAGAATTGACTTTCAGAAATATATTAATTTGCATGTGTTACTACTGATGGGGTTTTGTGTTGGATTTCTGATACACACAAATGGGGATTTTTATTATCATCAATCCATGATACTATTTTTTTGTATGTGTGTCTATTTGCTTTTCAACAAACTTGTATAGTGTTTCTCTGTAACTGGATCTTGTATCTGTTGAGAAATATATGAATAAAATAAAATAAATAAAATAAAATATACAGAATGGTCAATTCGCAGATTTCTCAGAAGAAGTTAGTGATACCAACAGTGAAGATTAGTGGTTAAACAATTACTACAGAGCCACTTTGGACCAAAATCTAGACATACTTTCCACTATATCCACTTGTCTAAAGTTATATTTATTCAGGGTGTTTTAACTTCGACCCACACGATTGGGCTCTCGGAAACTGTAAGAGATACGAAGTCCCTTAAACGGGGGCAAAGTTGCGTATTTAGATAATCAACAAAATGCCGCTTAGAAAGTTTCGAAACTACATCCGGAAAGAGACGGAAAAACCGAATTTTCCTGACTATTTGTAGTAGGATTTCCAAACAAATTACACATTAACATTGCCACTTTTTCTCCTCTACAAGATGGCATAATTAGAATTTTAATGTCATTTCGTTTCTTGTCTTCCAGCAATAAGTTTATTTTTATTATGGACGCCACATTGGATCTTTGCGCAGATGAATAGAGCTTTCAATTCTGATTTCGAAAACACATGACATTGGCAAACTTTAGTTATTTAAAAAAAAAACAGAAGTGCCTAGATAAGCATTGAAATTATCAGATTTCATTTGTCTTGTATACCAGATCAGACCTCAAATTGAACATTACAACCGAGTTTGGAAGAATGAGATAAAGAGAAATAAACCGAGCGATGAACGATGTACAGCTAAGAGTCAGGTCTTACGGACAACAAATTGAACATCTGCTATGATTTACTTCTGTTTATTTATGATTATTACAATCATTAAAATTTTGTTGTTCCTTGTTCACCATACCATTTAGTTGCTTATTGCGACCAACAACAAAAGCATGGCCAACTAGAGAAATACATCAGTGAATTTGAATGTTCAAAATTCCAATATAGCGTCCATATGAAAAAACAAAGTTGGTGATGGAAGTCGAAGGAAAAAATGTCAAATTGAAACTTTGATTATGCCATATTGTAGAGGAGAATAAGTTACAATGACAGAATGCAGTTTATTTTGAAATCCCATCTCAAATAAAGTCTGGAAAAAATAAGAGTGATTTTGGGATATATCTGGTAAACAAAACAAAACACTGATAAAATTTCAAGGTCTGCATTGGAAAAACTGTTTTTTACATAACTATGGTTTGGCAATGTTAATGTATGACGTATTATACATTTCTGGAGGAAGAATAAAGTTGATGCTGAAGGACAAGAGATGAAACATCATATTGAGACTCTAATTATGCCGTCTTATATAGAAGAACAAGTGTTTGTTAATGTGCAATTTATTCTAAAATCTCACTAGAAATAAAGTCAGGAAAACGATTTTGGGAAAATTCGATTTTTCCCGCCTTTCTCTGGAAGTACGTTGAATTTTGAAACTTTCTAATTTGCACTTTTTGGTTACCTAAATACGAATTTGCCCCTATGTCGTATTCGTATTTCTTACAGTTTCCGAGATCCCAATGGTGAGGGCCGAACTTGAAACACCCTTAATATTTCAACCTACAGAACGTTAAAGTATAAGGGGCATTTCGAAGTACACAAAATTTCTGCTATTACACCAGTTCTTAATGCTTTAACCAACAGTAACATCGCGATTCATTATTGCATAAAAAAGGATAATGCTAACATTTTCTTCCTTCCAGCAACAACATATCTAAAGAAAGCCTGCCAAACGCGGACGCATCAGGTGCCAAAGAGCAGTCCCAACAGCAGTCCAAAACGCAAAAGGACAAAGAAGATAAACAAGAAGAAATGGCAGTACCAGGAGGATCTGGTGAAAAAGACGATTTCAGTGACATTGTCGATTATATTATGTTGACCAGCAGTGAACGAGTGAAATACAGAGAGGGAGTTGGTAGAGTCCATCCTGTGATCAAGAATAAGGTTTATAGTGGCAAGAACCCTACGCTGGGGCAACTGAAAGGACTCAAACTCAGGTGAGTCTTTGTGATAATTATACGGGCAATCAAGTGTTTTTATCCATGCAATTTTATTAGAACTAAAATTTTAGTTAAACTAATTAAAAAAATCAATGTGACAGCTAATAAAAACAGTCAGTTCAAGTGCACTTTCATCTATGAACCTAGTTTAATTAAACAAAAAGGCAATTGTTCAATTAAATGTATTAATCTATTGGATTGGGTATACTAATTTACTCAAAATTATTTAAGTAAAATTTTAGTTTAAACAATCAAAAAATTTAATTAACTATGTAACAGCTAACAAAAAACGCTTAGTCTATGTAAACTCTCATTTTTAAAATCAGTTTGCATGGATCTATGAAACTACTCTAATTAAATCAGAACGCAATGGTTTAGTTGAATTTAATAATCTACTTACTTAGATTGAGTACACTAATTTATTTAAAATTATTTAACTATTCACCTGATCCAAATGAAATTGTACTTATTAAACTTGTTTAATTGATGTAGGTAATACTATTGAGTATTTACTAGTGAATATTATTTCATTATATTCAAAAGTCTATTTCAACATAGAATTTTAAAAGAGAAATTGCATTTCCATTATAAAACACTGTGTCCTGACAAACCTAAGATATAAAAAATATTTATAATACTTGATTTTAATCATTTCTATCTTCAAGTTTAAATATAAACATCCAAATTTTTTCACCCTAACAAAATACGATATTTTTAATTTTGTTTATTACCAACTATACCAACCAATAGTGCAACAATATCATTGTAACTATGCACAGATTGGACCAACAATGTATGGATAAAGCCTTTTTATCTCTAAGTAGTAAGGATAAGGGTTGTTGCACTTCAATATTTTTTGGCAAAATACGAGGCTTCGTCAAAGTCTATGAATTTATTATATCTATACTTTTGAAAATGAGTACCCAAATATGTGCGGTACAAATATTCATCAAAAAATACAACTTTGATATCTAGCTCAGTAATGGAATACAGCGTACAATGTGTATTAATGGCGATAAGAACGTAAATAGTCTTAGTATAAGAACAGGCTAAATTGGCGGCCCTGTATCATAAAAACTACAATTGTAGCGCGTCTGGTGCTTTCCATCATGATTCTAGGACAGTTCTTGTGGCGGCAACATTTCCTAGTTATTTTCTTGTAGTACAATGTACAAAGATGTTTTCACAGATTAACTGAAATAGAAATAAAAAGTAAATACTGCAAGCAAGACATAGGAAAATAAAAAAAGTCGTAAAGGTGGGGTAAAATGTACAATATACATGCCGACTTTCGCAATGTTTCCAACTCCCTGAGGGCTCTCACGATTTGCAACTGAAACAAAGAAAACAAGCATACCTCTTAATTAGGAAAACATTTAGTGCTGTGATTCAGAAAACGAAGTAATCTAAGCGAAAATACCAACAAGCATGAGTGTACTGCTTTCAGATATTCCGAATAAAATTCAGCCAATAGGGTAAAGCACAGTTAATGTAGCAAAGCACGGCAATTATCACAGAAATATATGAATTCATTACTGTATAAATAAAGTAACATTCTCCAGACAAGTTTTCATTTAGCTGTTCTTAAAATAATAAAAATTCAAATACTTATTTATTATACAAGGGAAAAAAGTACTAGATTTTAGCTTGAGCTTGTATTGTGTGAAAGCTAAAGTCTAATATTTTTCCTGTGTATAATATACAATTTTTTTCTGTGACTGGGAAAACGACGACTTAATATTGAAAATTTATATAATCACAATATTTAAGTCAGAAAATTAACGATGTAAAATTTGAATTTTGAAATTAGTAGGCTATGTTGTACTTATAGCGACAATTGGACCTGCGTGGCTAAAGAAACTTTTAAAGTAATCAAGTAGCTGTCAATTTAATATTGTGATTTGATTTAAAAATTGTGAACTTAGTGGTTGTTTAGAAGTACCTCTTGATACTATAAAGTAAAACATGTCTGATTCCGGGTTTTCTTTGACTCCACCGGAATTAGTAGAAGTAGCCAAAGTAGCGTTACAAAAATTATTGCCAGCTATATCGTTTATACAATATCCGGAAAAGAGTACTCATTTTCTTCCCGGGGCAAAAGGTAATTTCTTAAAAGTTACATTGTGTTTCCTGTCAACAGAATGTCAAACTTATTTCCCGTCACAGAAAAAAATATATTTTTACCATTGCATCTAATCAAATGAGATATCAAGTTTTCAAAGCGTATTAAACTCTTTTTTTGTCCTGCTGTCGAAACGTAACACGCTATTTCCAAGGAAAATAAAATATTTTTAAATTTCAATTTTATTTTTTTGAGCATCTGAATAAAAGTTTGTTTTTGAATATGTATTATGACTATTTATCTAAGTTATTTTTAACTCTTTAGTATTTATAATGTCAAATAACCAGTTTGGTAATTTCTATATAACCCTCAAATGTTTTATTAATAGGACTCCACGAAAAAAAACCGATTTTTACCTTCGAAGAGTTATTTCGCTTCCAACTCTTTTACTTCCACAGTTTGCACGAAAATCTTTAAATGCTTTTCCTCTTTAATAATAACATTCAATGAAATACACTTTTTTCAATAGTTAGCTCTCATTTTCGAGAAGGGTATCCTGCTTCCAAACACGGCTAGAATAAAATTGACAGTCCTCAGGTACGTGTTTCTGTAAGGCAGGGTGCCGTAGACTATTACAGAGGGAGGGGAGAGACAAATTTAGTTTTCACACATCCCTATTAGACACCCCTATTCGGGGACCTTGGGCATTAGAGATGAATGAATTTAAAAAATAAAACCTTTTGCACTGTGTCTTAGATTTTTGATTCTATGTTTGTAATAATTACTGTAATTACATAATGTAAAATAATTATTGTATTTTCATACAAAATTTTATGAAAAAATTATGAAAAATGTCTCACAAATAATGTCTTTTAAGTCCAAAAATCATAAAAACTATTAATGTTCATTCTTTTTCACTGGTGGGGTTATCTATCTGTCACTCGCAGGGTTGCCAAGTCTAACGACGATCACGTCCCGTGATGAAGGGTGCGACATGAACCTACATTTGGCGGTTTTGAATTTAAAGTAGGAATATAAACATAGTACTTATGACAGTTGGAGCTAGACTGATAACACTTCTTGAAGAATATTTGAAAAATGTGAACACCGTCATGGTCTGTTGTCAAATTGCAAATGAAGAATCTGAAAATTCTTACATGCAGTGGACCTTCGTCATAGTTTACTATCCTGATTATGATCATTTTTCGCAGATGTGTTGTATCATCAAATTGATGAACAAATATAAGAAAGCTCTTATATACCCACATACAGAGGATTTTTCATGTAAATTTACTAGGTATCATGATTATAAGCATCTTTGGTGGATTGTTCGATCCGGAATGGGAGAGATCTCCTATTTATAAAAATATTTTTGGTATCATCTAACCGTTGCAATCAGTGCACAAAAACTGTGACATATGATTTATAGCTACCCTATCAATACAAATTTAACATACAGGTTGCCTAGCCGTGGGGATGCAGTGGTCGGGATGAATATCACGGCAGCAACTGATGATTTGAGCATGTCTGGTAACAACGTATGAAGTGAAACTCGCTAACTTCACAAATTTGAAGATTTTGTACAATTTCTTTGAAAATGATGGAAGATATGACTGATTTGGCAGGGTAATGTCGCAGCCAAATCGCAGTCACTCTTTCTGACATATTCCGGATCGAAAGATGAGGATACTCGTGAAATGTATTGATACTTCTAAATATAGGATCGTATCTAACATCCCTACTGTCAAGATGTATAATCCAAGGTACCGACGGAGCTATTTTGCGGCGTCATGGAAATAATTTTAAATTTTCATTATCATTTTTTCAAGTGTTGTGCAATGATTTTGGGAAAAATGTCACGAATAGTCTTATCAAGCATAGTAGAGTATATTTCAACAGTTGGCGGAACTTACTTCATTGGGACCAGGAGGGTGAAACGAGATATTAATGCACAATCTGGCAACCCTGTCGCAGCCTCACAAAATGGCCGCTGATAACCACACAAATCACCGTGTTATCATTGAATGGCATGGAATTAATCCTTCAGAGTATAAGTTTTGTGACTGGTACCAAGAGTTGACAGATCCCACACATGTTTCACTCCTTGAAATGCAATAATCAGCTGTATTCAAATAATGTATAATATAAATATAACCTAGAATGTGTACTCGTGAAAAAAGAAAAATATGGCAAATTTGTAGTTCTTTTGCAGGTTTTAGGTTTGCTGGTAGCTTTAAGGCATATATTTGGGAATGTCTTAATCGCTGTGAATATAGTGTGGATGTTTGTTCAGTTCCTGAACAACCAAAAATATGCAACTTTATGGATGTATGGATATCAAAAAACCTGAATGGTTTTGTGGGAATATCAATCTAAGGTGCCATAATGGTTCTGATGAACGGCAAGTAAATGAATGAATATTTGGAAACGAGCAATATCTTTTGATAGAGCATGTCATCAAGTAGGTGCTTAATGGCTATCTGCATGAGGTTTATAGGAAAAAACACCCAGTATCGCATATCAATTGAAGAAAATAATATAAACATGAATAGAAAATCAACAATAGTAATTAAAACATGAATTTTATTCAAAAATCCAACATTTCTTTAAATTTTGACTGAATTATATGTAATTTCTTAATATTCAATAAGCTGGTGATGTTTCAATGACAAGCTGTCATCTCATACTTTGACAGTATTTTGTTATCAACATTTCATAGCTATTGGTTGCTAAAATTTGTTGATTAGAACTTGAAGCTCATTCGTTGTATTTGTCGGTCTGTTACCCTATAGGTGGAGAATAACCGACTGTTGTTCGACGTCTCATTGAGGTGGAATTAAAAAAAAAATGAAAAATGGCACCCTCTCTACGAGACCTTGCGAATTGGAGAGTTAATGTTGCTGCTCATCCAATAGATAGTGGCGAAAACGCAACC